ATATATTATACAACTATTTAGTCATATGCCACATAATGATGTTTCAGTCAACAATGGATGGCACTTACGATGGTGGTCCCAAAGGAACAGTTGTCTACACCATACAGCCTAAGAGTGGAGCAAGCTATCCCATCTATTGTAGATTTGTGTCTATGATGTTTACTCAGTGAAGAAGTCACCCAAGGACACATTTCTCAGAACATGCCCCATCGTTACACTGTGCATGATAGTATATATACACACATATTACTTTTCAAATAATGCTTATATAAAAGGTATTGTACTATTGATAACTTTTTAAAAAGGACTCTGAAACCTAATAATACATTCTGACCATCTTCCCATGTCATTAGTTATTTGTCTATATATAGTTTTTGACACATACATGCTATTACACTGTAGGGACCCACCATAGTTTATCACACCAATACCCTGTCTTTAGACATCTGGGTTGGATCCAACTTTTCACAGTTATGAATAAATAATGCTGAAATAAACACTCTTGGACATTAATCATTGTGATGGTAGTCCTAAGAGCCCTTTTTAAAGCATGGGATCATCAGCATAACAGTTAATGTTTATTGAGCATGTTTTATATAGGCAGGGGACCCCAAACGATGAATAGTTCTCTGTCTCCAGAGTCTATGTTTCTGCTTTTGGTCAGTAGTGCTGGTTTTTTTTTTTTTTTTTTTTTTTTTTGAGAAGTTTTTGCTATAGGTTGTGTGCGCTCGCCAGAAAGACAGAGAGAGACAGAAAGACAGAAAGCAAGAAATCACCCCCCATGGGGAATGGCCATGCCACAATCTCTTCTCCTCCTTTCTCCTCTCGGGATCTTGGGCACACACGCACATGTGCCCGGTGTGAGTTTAAGCCACCGGGTCTGGGACTTGAACCACAGTCAACTACATGGAAGTCCAGCGACATAGCCATTACACCAACTGCTGGTCCCAGTAGTGCTGTTTTTATCTGCCATCTGATGTGTGGGGTTTGCTACTTGCTACCTATGTAACTTTAGGCAAATCACTATAGCTCTCAGAGCCTCAGTTGCACAGACTGTAAAATGGGGACAATAAATAATACCACCTAACTCACATACTTACTGTAAGGATTAAATGAGATAGTAAAAACTAAGAACACATGTTTGGCACATGGAAAAAAACCTCAATGAATATTAGCTACTCAGATTAGTCCATCCAGAGTGGATCAGGAATTAGCATCTCTTTCATTCACACAGTGGGGAGGGCACCACCAGCCTGTCTTCAGTGTCTGTCAGCCAGCCTGCAACTGAGCTCTGCCCTTGCCCTTCAAATGCATCTAATCTGAAGAGAGAGTTAAAGGTCTGCAGGGATAGGAAAGCTCCCAGGACTTCCTCCAGTCTCCTGCTGGCTGCAAAAATCCAACAGGGATCTGTTTTTTGGAGGGTCTGTCTTCCCATCTGGCTATAATCACCACCCCATTCCCCCCTCCCCAAAGCGCAAGTACCTCACAAATTAGGGAAATCAGAGGCAGCCTCTTTAGACCCTGTGCAGGCAGCAGGGTGCCTAGTGGCAACAGAACCACTCGCTGAAGCTAAAATTAACAAGCTTCTTGGGTTGAAGGTTTTAATTAAAAAATGCTAGAGAATTATTTCCTTAATTCAGATACTTCTTCTTAGTAATCACTTTCCCCTGTGCTGCCCTGATATTTTATCTACTGCTTGTTTAATGGACGATCTGTGCAACAGGAGCTGAGCTACACAGGAGCAGTCATGGTGTCTCAGGGCTTAGGTGTTAGACAGGGTGGGTATTCTGCTGCGCTCCATCCTGACGTGCCAGACCTCTTCATGCCACGTATTTCCTCTGGGCCACGTGTCCTCTCTCAAGGATTTAGCCATGTACCGTCGGTTCCTCTGTTGGCTTCGTACCCTGGAGCTACCCATGATCGCTAAACCCACATTCCAACTGCCTACTGGAGACCACAACACGTAGCCATGACAAAAAAAGAATCTCTTCTTCCAGTCCCTGATGAATACATGAAGTGCTGGGTCTGAATGCCAAAGTGGAGATACTGGGTTTCTTGGGGCAGACATTGTGCCCTGACCTTCTCTCTCTCTTCCTCACCATTCAGACATACTTTTATCTGCCAGCTCCTGCAGTTGTGGCCTGAGGGTCTTTCTTATCACTAGAACTTACTCTGCCACCTATATAGATATGTGGAGGAATTAGTGCTCACCCCCCAGAAGCAGCCTTCAGCTAATACCAGCAGGAGCTGGAATATAAATATCTCAGTTCTCTCGCTGCTCACATGGGATTACTCTGAGCTGACAGTCTGTGCTGTCCCCCAGAGCTCCCCAGCACGATTAAACTCCATTGGCCCACGGTGGTACCTGACCAGGTAACATAACCTTGATCGGCTGTTTCTCTCTCTCTCACTTCTCCATGCCTCCATCTTTGCCCCTTAAATGCCATTTCCACTCTTGAATCCTTATCACAGTGTCTAGAAGTGAGTATAAAGATAAGGATGATCCCGTCTCCCTTTGCGTGGCCATGCCCATCCATCTTAAACACCTGTCTCCCTAAACAGTTCCCCAGTCTGATCTCTTGTCTTCCTTCCTGCAGCTGCTGCCTTAGTCCGCGTTACCAGCCTGTCTGACCTGGACTACTGCCCCACATCTCAAGCTGTCTCCCAGCCTCCTGCCTTGCTCCTGAAATCCATCCTATGGATGCATTTAAGGTGATCCTTATAAAAATGAAATCTGGTCTCACCATGCCTCTGCTGTTCCCCACAACAGCTCTCCATAGAGTCCAGGAAATAGACCAGATTATCTAACTTCACTCATAAGATCCTCCGTGATGGATTCTAAAGCCTTTCACAGGATGTTCTCTGTGTCCGGCATCCCCAGCCTCCCCTGATCACTCCCTTAGTCAGGCTTCTCTGTTCATGCTGAGCCTCAAAAACCACCCCTTACGGGAAGCCTTCGCTTGCTTGTCTCCCACCCCAAACTGAATTAGTTGACTCTATTAGTCTGTGAGGGTTGTCCTAACAGAATACCACAGACTGGTGGCTTAAACAACAGACACGTTCTCACAGTTCTGGAGAGTAGGTGGATGTCCAAGGTCAACGTGTCAGTCGATTCAGTTTCTTCTGAGGTTTTCTCCGTGGGTTGCAGAGAGCTGTCTCCTCACTGTGTCCTCCCATGGTCAACCCTCAGTCTATGTGTTCTGTTGTCCGTGTCCCCATCTCTTCTTATCATCACAGTGGATTAGGGCCCTGCCATATGACCTCATTTTACTTCGATGTATCTCCTTAAAGACTGCCTTTACATATAGCCACATTCTGAGGTATGAGGGGTAAGACTTCAACATAGATTGTAAATTGTGCGAGAGAGGAGCAGTTCAGCCTCGCAGTTACTTTCCCCATGTTCCCTGTCCACATCTTCCCCTACTGTGGAAATGGTCACATTCTAGTATAATCTCCTACGTGCTTTTCTTTCTTCCTTACCAGACTACATCTTTGAGGGCAAGGATCCTCTCCACGGCTATATCTCCGCACTGCCTAGGCCGCCGCCTGGCACACAGTAAGTACTCGACCCGCATTTGTAAAGCGAGTGAATATATTTGCCGTCTTGGTCATCCTTAGAATTAAGTGATGGGGAAAAGAAGGAATATCTGTATACAGCTCAGTTTGAGGCTGACCTGTGGCTGGAAGATGGAACTGGGATATTGCTGCATGGCCACACCACCGTGCTCAGTTTCTCCTTCGGGACGTCATCCCATGGGTTTTCTCTTCTCAGCTGGTCACCCTGCCACCCTCGTTCTGATGCATCACCTAGCTACACCAATGTGCTGAATATATCCGGCAGGGCTTGACTGCCCTGCTGTTGTGAACCGGCAAGCTTTCTTTGATTGTAACCGTTGTAGACAGATCAATAGGAATCCCTTTCTTAGCACTTGCAAGGAAAGGAACAGTTAATCTTGTCTGGGGTGGCTCACCTCGCTTTAAATGTTTGGGTAGTGGTAGGGACATCTCTATCATTTCATGTCTGACTTTGGCTAATCAGTGGTATTTTCTTAATGACTTGGTGTGAACATTTCAGAGATGACTCCTTTTTTTCCTCATTGATCCCCTTGCCAGCTGTCCTCACCCTCTAGTCATAAGGCTGTGCTTCCCACCCCCCCAACCCTGACAAATAGCTAATAATGATCTGTAAACAAACGCGTACGTGCACCAGGGTAGCAACTCTCCAGAAGAGTTCTGCACAGCAGGAGGCAGGCAGAGAAGGAAAGCACCAGATCATTCAGACCCCCGTTAGAATCTGTTATCTGATGGAACATTCTGTGATGAGGATTGGCTGTATCTGTGTTGTCCCCATAGGGGAGCCACTAGCCACATGTGATTATTGATCATTTGCAGTGGGGTTGGGTGACTGAGAAACTGGCTTTTTATTTAAGTTTCATTTTAATGAATTTAAATACAAATAGTTACACGGGGCTGATGGTAACTGGCCTGGACAGTGCAATTTAGAGGCCAGTCACGTCGCCTCTCTGAGCCTCTGCTTCCTCCCTATTAAATGGAGATCCTCATCTTTATGGCATCAGGGCAATTCTAGATGCTGTAATAAGCAAGTTCTACGGCACAGTGGCTCCATATCTCTTGCCAGGTAACAATCCAGGGCATGTTTCTTCCAAGGGATATTCAGGGATTTAGTCTGATGGGCTCTGCTTGACTCCATCTAGTTAGCAGGAAGGGGAAAACAGCAGAATTCCAAGGTTAGGGATTTTCTCTTAAGCAATTGAGGCAAAATCATTTCTACTCTTGCCATTCCTGGCAAGTAGTCAGTTCTATTACCGCGTGTAACTTCAAGGGGAGCTGAGAAATTTCATCCCCAGCTAGGCAGCCGTGTCCTAGCCAATACTCTCTTGCTATAGAACAAGGAAGGGACATCTTTTGGAAGAGAGGTGGCTGGATCTATACACCTACTTTGATGGGCCAATGTGAGGGTTAGGTATTATGTATGTAACACAGTACTTGTGTAGCAGTCACCTTTCGCTGTGAAAACAAACAAACAACAAACAAAATCACAAGCAACCTAAAAAACCTCAGTCCTTACACTTAATGTGTTAGAATGATGGTGAGAATTGGCAATCCGGGCTGGGTTGACCTGAGTGGGTCTAATCTCGGCTGACTCATGCCACTGACCTCACGCTGCTTCCATCATTTGCTGGGTTGACTGGGGGTTGCCTGATCCAGGACGGCCCTGGCTAGACCATTTTATCTCTGCTCTACCTCGTTTTTTATCCTGCCTAGTTTTTTATCCTCTGGCTAGAGACAGGTTCCAAGACAGTAAGGGGACACACACAGGGCTTTTTGAGGTTTACCATTAGAACTGGCACCCAATCACCTGTCTCATTGTATTGATCAAAACAATTCTCACGGCCAACTAAGATTTAGCGGCAGCAGGGCTGGACAGTGGTGCAATAATAAGAAGCAACACTCTGCAAGGCTGAGCCATGTGGGAATGTTCTAGGTCCATGTCCAGGGACCTCCAAGTTATGCCTGTGCCCATGATCCAGGTTGGCTGAGGCCGGGATGGATTGTGACATCAAGACTTGGTTGGGCATTTAAGAAATTTATTTATATATATCAATTTACTCAATAAATGATGCCTGATATTATGTTATTAACCCGTGAGGGCAAACGTATTTTTCTATATTGTCCATTCACTTCCTGATTCAAAAATTTATTTACACTGAGTCAGTTTATTTGTTTTGTTTTGTTTTGTTTTGAGAGGTTTTTGCTATAGGGCACGTGCACTTGCCAGAAAGACAGAGAGAGAGAGACAGAAAGCGAGAAATAACCCCCCAGGAGGGATGGCCATGCCACAATCCCTTCTCCTCCATTCTTCTCTCGGGATCTTGGGCACGCACGCACACATGCTCAGCATAAGTTTAAGCCACCTGGTCCAGGACTCAAATTGTGGCCGACTACATGGGAGTCCAGAGACATAGCCATTATGCCAACTGCTGGTCCCTACTCTGAATCAGTTTTATACCAAAGATAGTGACTGGGCTTGGTGTGTGGGGCATTGAACTCCACAAAAAAGTTGAGTTAATTTTTGTATCATGAAAAGGGAACAAATAAACATCAGAATTGATGTTAGTTCTTCACCCTGTGGCCCTGTTCTTCACCCTGTGACTGATGATGCCCAGTGCTCTGTTTCCTGGGTACCTCTGAGGAAAAGGTAGCTTGTTAACCATGACCCCTGTTGTTTCGACTATGTGGTGGCCGTCTCTCTGGGCCTGGGTGAATTACTAATGAGGTTTGCAGCTACTCATGGCCTTGTCTGTTGGAGGGAAAAACTTTGGAGAAACCTGGACAGATCCAGTATGAGCTGACAGAAGCCTTTGGAGAGAGAGAATAAACAGCCCACTTATTCAGAGGGCTATAAAAGGAATCTTTCTTGCTACAGCGTAAAACAACTCGTCTTGCCTGCAAGATGAATCAGAAGCCTAAAGGGTGATGAATGGGAGTGATTTCCAAAGCACTGGGAAACATCGTGGGCCCCACAGTGAAGTTACATCTGGTGCCTGGGAGATACATCCTGTGCCCGATGACATCCATCTCTGTCTGTCCCCTCGGTACCTGTAACCTGCTCCCGCTATCATACGATCAAAGCCAGTATTCTCAGCTGAAAAACTTGTGGGAGACATGGTCTCTGGAACTGACAATTCCCAAACAAAAGGGAAATGCAGCGGAGACTAAAATGCCCTGGACAGGGAGTCCTTGAAAGGTAACTACTTCAGGCCTTTGCCTTTGTGCCCCTGAATAGCCTCTCTTGCTTTGGGCTGCTTTGGGGATCAAGTGACTTATCCAAGAAGCAGACAAGGACCATTTGCATCAGAAAAGAATCACTTGTTGGGAGGTTTTCCCTCCTAGCATTTTATTATGAAAAGTTTCAAACCTATAGCAAAGCCCAATGGATTTTACCCATCAGTAGATTCTACCCCTCCCCCCATTTTATTTTTCTTGCTTTATTGCTTGTCTCTCAAGCTGCTCATCTTTCTTTGTCCTTTATTTTTTCCATAATAGTGTGTGTGTGTGTGTGTGTGTGTGTGAGAGAGAGAGAGAGAGAGAGAGTGAGAGAGAGAGAGAGAGAAAGAGAGATGCAGGCAGCCCCAACAAGATATTCCTGATGCAATCCACCCCCAGCCTCAGCCAGCCTGGATCAAAGGCATGTGTGTGCACCTAGCGTGCAGAGCGAGGCCTTGGGTTAAAAACCCAGAACCTTCCCATGCCAGGTTGCATTATGACTGCACCACTCTCTGGCCCCAATCCTTCTCTTTTTGATAAAATACATTGCAGTCATCAGTACACTTGGGCAGGGGACTGTTAAGATTGCTCCTGTCCACAACCTGTATGCAGATCCCGCTAACCAAGGGAGCTGCATTTTTAATCATTATGAATCCCACTTTGCAAGTTGGACAACTGAGGCACATAAGAAAACTGAGATAGGATCTGCCCGAGGCCATTTAGCAGGTAGGTACTGAACTGGGACTTGACATTGGTGCCTTTATGCTCTGAGCCTGTGCTCTGCCCATTCTGCTGTAAGGACTGCCTGAAAGGCCAGTTCTTTTCATTTCTTCTGGTCCAGAACTGCCTGAATAGGAGGTGCTCAGGGCACCCAAGCTGAGTGACCATGCCATCTCTTCTGCTCAGAGCATGGATCTTTGGCCAGACTCACACTTAGGGGCTGTGGTTTGGGCAGGGCTCCATCTTCATGGCCTGAATACTCCTTGAAGGCAGGTGCTATGTGTAAGACTGTAGCCCTTGGACCAGGGGTTATTGAATCTCTTAAAATGTGATAAATGGAAATAACAATGGTTTCTGACTCACAGATTTAATGAGGTCATTCATGGAAATGTATTAAGTGTGCTGAAAAGAAGTAACTTTATGATAATATCGATGAATAAGTATAGCCTTTGCTTGAAAATGTAACTTAAATCGTTGGAAACCAGTAAACTGGGTTGTATTTTGAGCATCTATTTTTCGTTGGGTTCAGAAACAGATCTCAAGATGAGGATTCATGTAGAAGTTAGTTAAAAGGAAGTAGTCTCAGGAAAATGATCAAGGTGTAGGCAAGTGAGACCCCTAGGGAAATAGTCAAACAAGGTCCCATGGAGGGTGACCTTCTCTCAGTCTTGCAGGCAGCTGGGGACATGCAGAGTCTTCCAGATCAGGGGGCATGGGAATTGGAGTATTGGTGTCTCCCTCCCTCTGTACCTGTCACAATTAGTTAAGGACTGTCTTGAGGCATATGAATACCCAGGCGCTTGGGTTCTGTAGATGGGCATCCTAAACGGTTTGAGAAGACTGAGGGCAGCCCTCCCACAAAGAGATATATGTGCTAACCATACAGAGTCAAAGCACGTGGGAGACTGGGTACTTGGAAATAGTACTGTGTGCTTGAAAATAGGGAAATGTAGGTGGGGCATGGGCAGAATTTGCTACAGATGACGTTCTGCTGCAGAGCAGAAATCTGCTCGAGGTTCAGTTCACGTTCCCCTGGGAAGCATATC